CCAAACTGCCCTTTCACCAAGACCTGCTTAGGACTTTCCTGGGGTGTTCTTTATCGTTGATACCATTGGTTACCAGTGACCAGTCCTGCTCCCTCACATGTTGAAGGTGTAGCCTTAGAGGAACACGCCAAGGCAAGCACATAAAGCAGGATTCATTTAAAAAGGGATAACATGTTACCTTCTCCCCAAGAGGGAGAAGGGGCCATAGCTGGTGTCCTGGTGTACCAAGAAGCGAGGCCTTCTGTCTTCTTTACATGTCCTAGGCTTGCTGTGTTCTCCTGCTCTCTTCCCCTTAGCTCTTCTTCCTGACTAGGCCCAGGAAAAGCTCGGTAGGATGGCCCAAAGGTGGGAAACAGGTGGGCTGAAGGGGAAATTGCTGGATGGAGCAGCCCTGGACACGTTGCTTTAGAAATGTACATGTAGTTTATTATCAATTATTTATTTATCACAATGCTAGTGATTGAGGCCAGGGGCCTCATATACACTGGGCGAGGGCTGTACCACTAAGCCCCATCTCCAGTCCCAAAAGTGTGTGAATTTTAATCACTTAAAATCTCGGAATAGAATCAAACTGTCTGTGCCATTGACATTTTCCTTGCTTTTGTTTCTGTATTTAACATCACTGGATGTAGTTTATTTCTCAGAGTCTTCTAAGAAAGACACCACTGATGTATTCACATACATAGAATTCTAGAAGACTTCTCACTCCTCAACTCCCCATTAACTCTATGCCAGTCCCAGCGCAGCAGACCTGCTAGAGCTGGCCTAGGATGTGGCACCTAAGCCTGCCTGCCTTCCACAAGGAAGCCAGGCCTGTGTGATGCTGAATGCGGGCATGAATTCATAGCAGCAGCTTTGAAGGTATCCCTGGTCCTCCTCTGAGGTTACTTCTTTATATGCTTAATCCAGAAGTATTTTTTTATTATTATTAGTTGTTCAAAACATTACAAAGCTCTGGACATATCATACATTTGATTCAAGCAGATTATGAACTCCATTTTTACCCCGTATACATATTGCAGATTCACATCCACTTTTTTACATACTGCCATTTTCTGCCCAACACCAAGCCAGTTAAATTAGGATAGTTATTAATGCATCTCTCTTGTGAAAAACTTGAATACTTTTTTTTCTGGTTGGCATTATATAGTTAATCCTCAAGATGATTGCTGATTAAAGACATTTGGATGGAACACTGCGCTAGGTGTAGGATTTTTCTTATAAGCTGCTAACTCAAAGGGGTGTGAAACCAAGCATAAACTAAACAATAAACAGATGTAGTCGCCAAATATAGAATGCCTGGGTCTGACTTCAGTGGGGCACCCTGAGATGATAGGGTGTCTGTGGAAAGGTACAATTTATAGGTCACAGCATAATGGGAACCTTTCACTGTGCAAATTGAAAATTAACCTTGGGAGTATTGGGTCATTTGCAGTTTCTGAAGAAGTCGTACTGGAAAAACGTGTAGCATTTCCATCTCATTTCAGGTGTGCTCTCCTCCCTCCTGGCAGAGTTGGTTCTGTTGTCATCCTTGTGGTTTTTTTTCAAAACTGTAATTTGGAATGTGTTGCTGATGTGCTCATTTACAGGACTGGATCATCACAGATGATTTTAGCCTCTCGGTACACTTCAGTCTCTTAGTAACACCCTGGAGGCTCAGAGTAGAGTTCCGATTCCAGTTCCTATCCTCTCGGCACTGGTGATGGGCCAGTTGGCATTTAGCACAGCCTTAGCCAGCAGGGGACACCAGTGCCGAGAGGATAGGCACATGTTGCTGCTGCTGTATGGCACACTTCCTGTACCCAAAACCTAGGGTACAGGAAGCCATCTGATATTCTCAAGGGCGCACATTCCTGCAGCCCAGCCAAGTCCTGCAAGTAGGAGTTTCTAGCCCTTGCATCCCTGCCCCCGGGAGATGACGGCCTCCTGGCTACTGTGACCTGCGGGCTTTGTCAGTGCATGCATAGAGGGTAAGCCCTTCACCACCGGCTCGCAGGACTTGAGAACTTGTGGTTTTCCACAGCATTTGAGAAGCATTAAGCATGCCATCTGTTACTGTTTGTATGATTTCTCTTCTGGGAAGAGTACACAGAGATCTTACTGAGATCATCAAAATGGACAAAATTTGCTGATTTCACTTATTTTCCACAAAAGGGAGAAGTATCTGTTACATATGGAGAGCGGGGAGCTTGGAGCTGGTAAGGTGAAATTCCAGTCCTCTCAGAGCAGCCTGCTGTCAGTAGGCAGCACTTCAGTGTGACTCAACTTGCCCAGAATACACCAGGATGCCGGGTCCGGGCCTCATGTCCTGTCCTGCCTCCTTGGGCTTCACATTCCAGCCTGTTGAGTACCCTCTCCACATCCAAGAGCCACCACCTGTGTAAGGACATGGATATTAAGCAGATCAGGTCAAGGTTATATTCTTTCCCAGAGTTTAACTCTCAGGCCAGTACTGGGGCTACAGCCGGTGCACCCAGGTGTCCTGGCCTTACATGCAGGTTATTAAAGAGAGACATAATGCTCCTCTCTTAAATAAAAAAGCTGATTATTTAATTTCATTGTGTTGCTCTTAACAAAATAATAATATTCTGTGCAGTTAAATCTCCTTACTTGGCTTTCTAATATCAGCTAAGTGATGATTTTTATTACTTTAAACATAATATTTTTCCAAACAGTTCAGGCCGAGAAAGAATCCAGACACTGCATGGCCATTGCTGTTGCAGAAAGCAGGTCCTTGAGTTGTGCTCAGCAACTCAGGTCTCGGCATGGACCAGAGAGGAGTGCAGCAGATGAGGCCTTGGAGCACACCCCCAAGCCCTGTGGTTCCAGGAGGCGGCCCTGATGATGCAGGCGTGGGTGGTGTGCAGTGGGTTAACGCCCTCCTTGTATCTAGGGCAGGACTAGTATTCTACTTGGGAACAGCAACTGGTACCCCAAATCATGTTCTGTTTTCTGAAGAACTCAGATGGAGAAAGGCTGTTTGGTTCCCCATCCCTCGCCTTTTTTAGAGAAATGTATTTTTGACTTTGTAACTGAAATAAAAATATTAGACCATTATAATTTCACTCTCAATCCTGAATTTCTAGAATTATTCTATTCCATTTACCATAAGCTAACTCCACTATGTAAACTTTTTTTTTAAATATCAGAACATTATAAGAGGTAGTTTTATCTCTGCTCCAGCAACTACATTCAATTTATAACTAGTAATTTTAAAATGCATTCATTTTTATGCATCTTTATTATCCTACAACAATAGGATACCAACCCTATGGTAACCTTATCCAGTTTGTTGTTGGCCCAGTGAAGCGATGGGTAGCCGAGAGAGAGCAGAGGAGCTTCCTCCCACTGCCTGGGACAGGCGTTTGGCACCCTAGTCTTCGGCTATGCTCCTACACTCTGCCCCAAGCCGTCAGCAGTCCTGGGAAGTGCTCGATTGCTTTTGCCCACTGTCCCTCACTCTCCCTGCCCTATGCCGCACACACTCCCAGCACTGAAAGCATCCCATCTCTGGAAGTCTTACTGGAAGTATCCTGCAGTTGGGTTTGTGTCAAGTTATTAGAAAACCTGATTTTAAAAATGATTTCCTGATCTACCCAAGAGAACATATCAAGTGGGACGTGTGAGCAAGGGCTGAGTACACAGCTCGGTGCTCTGAACATCCACTGACCATTCTGGTGTTGGTGTTGGTCTCTTGTCCTCCTGAACCTGGCCACCATACACTCAAGGCACCAAGATTATAGGGATGCAGGCATTGCCTGCTCCAGAATCCTAACCTGAGCAGTCAGCCTCGGGACGAGAGCTGCTAAGAATTTTTCCACAGCCTCACCAGATATTAAGATTCAATTGATAACATCCTGAACACAGCCAGAATTTTAAACGTCCCTGAGATGACTTGCATCTCAAAATCGAAAATGAGATCCTAACAGCATAGGTGGCAGTGAGACTTGAAAGCAGGGGTGAGCTCACCCTGCCTCTGAGAGACTTGAGCTCCGAGGGACCCGCCCAGTCAGGCCCTGGGAGCTGTGACATTGCTGGCCAGTGACAAGGCTGTGCCTTCAGAGCAAAGGTGAAGGGTGCCCAACCTTGGGAAGCTGCAGAGCACAGAGCTGGTCTTGTGGGCATGCTGTGACAGTCTCCAACCCTGGCAGCATGTTCATCGCAGAGGGTGTTCCTGTTGGGTAACATTCTCTCGGCTACTGCCAAGCTTGGTGTGCCATTAACTGACCAGCTGTCCCGTGATAAGGCTCCTCAGAGACAGGCATTCTTTTCCAGAAAGTGCTTGATTGTCATAAAATACTTAACATACAATATTAACTTTAGAAAATATCTTCTTATGAGTTTTAAATTTTAATAAGTTATTAAAGTAACTCTAAGTAAGAATAAGTAAGAGCAGCTCCTATTGTTTAGTACCTACACACACCAAAGACTCAGCTTACATTTCTTCAGCCTTAGGACAGCTTGCAGAAGCATATTTCCACCTGGCAGAGCTGGAATTGAACTGGTGAGGTGAAGAGACTGTGCGGAGCTACTGGCTGGCCTGGGTAGACTCAGAGCCCAGGCTGCCCTCTACAGGCCTGATCTGCAGGCTCCGGCTTTTCGTCCCCTTCAGGTCGGAAGATATTCCACGTAGACACATTCATGTAGTTGGTCAGACACCAATTTCTCTCTCATGTTGGAAAAAAATAGGGATAAACAAAATTCAGATTACTTGCTCCCTTCTAGGGTTTAAACATGACTAGCTGTAGGGAGCTCATGGACACAGAGTACAAAAGGAAGCCTTTATGGTGCATAATGGACCATGTTACACAGCAGGCCAAGGGACTTTCTGCCACATTGCTTATTGCTCACCTGTATGTAATATGGCACAGAAATGAAAAGTTCTAGACACTACAGTTTCTCTGCCTTCATGTGTCTGGGGACACTTTGCATGCAAGGTACCATGTCCTCTGGGCACAGCGTCCCCAAGGCAGTCAGACCTCACACTGTGGTCTCTTCAGGTCGCACTGGTGCGGTGGACAGAAAGTGTCGGGCTCACTCTGGTCAGCAGGGACCTCACCTCCATGCAGCTGAAGACGCCTGGCGGCCAGGTCCTGACCTACTGCATCCTGCAGGTGTTCCCCTTCACCTCGGAGAGCAAGCGGATGGGCATCATCGTCAGGGTATGCTGCCGCTTGTGCTGGGCCCAGAGACACTTCAGTGTACTTTGTGTGGACAGCTTGAGCGGTTCCTTTTTTAATCTTTTAAAGCAGATACAAAATCCTCCCTCTCCACAAAAAAGGTTAAAGTTAAGTATGTATTCGCTTTGTGCTTGTTATGGTTTTTTAAAAAATAAAACAAAATCTAAACTAATAATTTATGAGTGAGACACCAGAGTGGCCATAATGACATAAAATACCTGGTGATGTGAAACATCTGTTCCTAACACTGCTAAGGGAGAATAAGTAAAAGATGTTACTAATTTTCAAAATCAGCTAGTTGTTTTGTGTTTAACAAAAGTAACGTAACAAAAAGTTTAACTTAATAATGATTTTTAACCATAAAGTTTCTATATGTACCTGTGTTCAGCTCTTCTTAGCAAATAACAATAAAAAATATTTGGAAGTTTGTTAAACAGGAAAGCATTTGATCAGACTTTGATGCTTATAGTATAGCCCAAGTCATTTATTCATTAACAGAATTTGTTTCAAAAATTTCCTCCCAGCATCTCAAGTGTGTAGTGATTTTCCCGATTCTTACTGCATTGCGTGTAAAGGCGCCTGTCACTTGGAAAGCAAGCAGCTTCCCACAGGGAAGGCATTGTTAAGAGTTGTTTTTTTCGGTGCATTTTCTATTAGACCAGCAGTTATTTGCAAGGAGCTAGATAGCCCAACTGTCCCCGTGTTTATTTTCACTCCATACAGGATGAGTCCACAGCAGAAATCACATTCTACATGAAGGGTGCTGACGTTGCTATGTCCTCCATCGTCCAGTACAATGACTGGCTGGAAGAGGAGGTAAGTGGGCCACGCTTGGCACTGTGCAGCCACACATGTTCATGGAACTTAGGAAACATCAGATGACCGAAAAATTGTCTCCTCCCCACAGCTTGGGAGACACTGGTGTCATTGGAGTAGGTCAAGGTACAGAGATGTCAGACCAGGTCCTGGAAGGGTTCCAGGGGTGGTGTCATTTCCCACCAGATTGTTCTGAGTAGTCATGGTTCTCATACTGGTTAAGCAAAAAGGATAAGGCCCTAGTTAATCATGAGGCTTTCTATACAATTAACTATTGCTGTTTTGTTTGTGAAATCATGTGGATGTGCACCAGGAGCCCCTTATAGAGAATAATTTTATGTGTAATACTGAAAGTATAGAAAACATCATCAGTCATTCACTAGAGAGCTGTGAAATAGCACTGTGTGTTTAAACAAGGTTAGGCTTTAATATGACATCTAGTTAATATGCAAGGAGATTTTAATTCGAATTTTAGTATTATGCTAGTCAGTTCACTTAAAAGTAGAAAATAATGTACATACACCAGTAATCCTAAATTAAATTGAATGAGAGTCTACAATGTATTAAGTTTACATTTTAATTGATAGCTGGGTTTCTGAGTAAAGCCAGACCAGTTGTAATGGCAAGTACAGCCCTTTTCCCTGTTTACATGTTGTTCTGCTGCTCAGAGCTCTCCTGTCAGTGCAGTGACCACACCCAGTGCTCGCATGATATTGGCAATATGAATCAATATCTCCTTCAGGGCACTTTGATTTAATCAGGGACATGAATAAATTAAACTCCCTGAAGACCTAGTAAAATGCCATAAAAATTACTTTTGGTCATAATGATGTGCAATTAATTGTAAAATACTTGTTTAATTTATTTAGCTTTATGAGGTCAAATCAATAAATGTCTTGCAACAGACAGATAATGTCAGATTGTTTTTCACAAAGATAACTTTATTAAAAATCCTATGTACATTTATTTTCTCAGCATTGTGCTTTGTTTCATAGATGAACCTTTTGGCCCTTTGTGGTGTCTTTGCTGTAAACCGTTGTAATCAGAGCCTTTCAGTGTATTAAGAAATAAGCAAAGCAATCACTGCAGGGGTCTGGGTTTGTGCTCTGCTTTTTGTTGCAAGCAGAACCTGGAGTTGGCTTCTTGGCTGCAAACTGTGTTCTCCAGTTGTGCAAGGAAAACACTCTACGTTGATCATATTACAGAAAGCACCATTCTTCAAAATTGAAACATCAGAGTATTCACACATATTAACACAGAGAAAAAAAATAATGTTCTGGATGAAGGGAGGTGTGGCAGTGATGGGCCTCTTCCCTCTAAACACAGACCTGAATTAGATCCTGATGTGGTATCCCAGGAGAACAAGCTCAGCCCTCCTCTGTGGTACAGCAACAGTCCCCTCCCTCGTCTACATAGCCCAACCCTGGAAGTTGCTGAACTGGACACTGGGAAGGACTTAGCTCATGAGTGTCTGAGTGGGTAGTATTGGACCCCAGGCTTCTTCCCCAGCCCTTCCTGCCACTGCAGCCTACAGATTTAATACTGGGCATCAGATCCAATAAGCTGGATGAATTAAAAAGGTATTTTCAGAAAATCTGGATATTTTAATAATTTTTATTTGCCTATAGACAAACATCTCTTCATCAGATGCTATACCTGGCTTTATTGGAGGTAGACATCCCACATTCAGCTTTCTAAGAGATGGTAGGGGTGACAAGTGCCTGCCTGTGGCTTGGGGTCTGTGGTGTGCAGAATTGGGTCTGAACTGTTAATCAGTACACCCCAGGAAGTTCAGGATCCCTGCCCATGCCTAGTTCTAAAGGCCCAAATCCCTAAGTCAGTTGTCTTCACTGCCTGACTGCCTATCACTGTAGGTCTGTTACTGCTGTAGAGATGCAAGATACTTCCTGAACATGTGAGTCATCACAGGGCTTGTGACAGCCTTCGTGGGGGGCATGATTGCTCTCCTTTTCTCACCATTCAGCTATAGCATTCTATAGCCCACCCAACTCACTGTAATTTTTTAAAATTCATTTGCTGAGTACAAAAAAATTGATATAATCCCTTGCATCTTATCATATCATAATGGAATGAAATTAGAAATCAACAGAACCAAACCCTATAGAAACTATATAAACACTTGGAGATTGAACAGTACTCTATTGGATGATGAAAAGGATGATAGGAGAAATTTTAAAATTCTTAGACTTGGGGCTACAGTAGTGGCTCAGTGGTTGAGCACTTGCCTGGCATGTGTGAGGCCCTGGGTTTGATCCTCAGCACCATGTATAAATAAATAAATAAAATAAAAGATCCATTGACAACGAAAAAATATTTTTTAAAAAAATTAAAAAATAAATAAAAATTCTTAGGCTCAAATGGGAATACTCATACAACATTTCAGATCCTCTGGGACACTATAAAGGCAATTTTAAGAGAAAAATTTATAGCTATGAAAATCAGAAAGATCCCAAATAACCTAAAAATGTGTCTCAAGGCCCTTGAAAAAGAAGAACAAACCAATTCCAAAACCAGTAGAAGAAAGGAAATAAGTTCAGAGCTGAAATCAATGAACTTGAGAATTAAAAAAAAAAAAAAAAGATACAAAGGATTGATGAAGCAAGGGGTTGTTTCTTTGAAAAGATAAACAAGATTCATAAGCCCTTAGTCAAACTAACCAAAAGAAAAGGGAGAAAAAAACAATTTAATAAAATTAGAGATGAAAAAGGAGAAATCACCACAGACATCTCAAGAATCCAGCAGAACATTAGGGACGATTTTGAAACCTTCTACTCCAATAAATTGAAAGACCTAGAGGAAATGGATGCATTTCTAGACAAATGTGATCTGCCAAAACTGAATCAAGAGGACATAGAAACCCTAAACCAGTAACTTGTAATGAGATAAAATCAGTAATAAAAAAAAATAACCTTCCAACAAAGAAAAGCCCAGGACACTTGGATTCTCGGCTGCATTCTACCAAACCTTTAAAGAACTAATGCCAATACTCTCAAATTATTTTATGAAATAGAAAGGGATGGAACACTTCCATTCATTCTATGAAGCCGATATCACTCTCATACCAAAACCAGATAAAGACATTTCTTTCCTTTTTTTTTTTTTATTGTTGGTTGTTCAAAACATTACATAGTTCTTGATATATCGTATTTCACACTTTGATTCAAGTGGGTTATGAACTCCCATTTTTACCCCGTATACAGATTGCAGAATCACATCAGTTACACATCCATTGATTTACATATATATGTAGATAAAGACATTTCAAGGAAAGAAAATTACAGACCAATATCCCAGGTGAACTTAGATAACAAAAATACTTGATAAAATATTAGCAAATTGTGTTTAACAAAATAGCAAGAAGATTGTACATCATGACCAAATTGGTTTTATTCCAGAGGCACAAGGATGTTTGAATATTTACAAGTCAATAAATGTAATTCATCACATAAATAGAATCAAGGACGGAATCACTTGGTCATCTCAATAGATGCAACAAGACCTTTGACATAATTCAGCAACCAATCATGATGTAAAAACAAACAAAAAAACACCAAAGAAACTAGGAATAGAAGGAATATACCTCAACATCATAAAGGGTATATAAAAAAACCAAAGCCAACTTCATAGAAAATGGGGAAAAACTGAAAGCGTTTCCTTTAAAATCTGCAATAGTCTATTTAACATAGTGCTAAAAATTCTAACCAGGTCAGTGTGGCAAGATAAAGAAATAATGGGGATAAAAACAGAAAGGAAGAAGTCAAATTATCACTGTTTGCAGATTATATTTTTCTATACCTAGAAGACCAAAAAAAAACTCCACAAAAGATTGCTAGAACTAATAAAGTTGACAATGTAGCAGATTACAAAATCAACATATGAAAATCAATAGTTAACAACAAATCTGCCAAAAAATCAGTAAAACAATTGTATTCAAAGTTGCATTTAAGGGCTGGGGTTGTGGCTCAGTGGTAGAGCGCTTGCCGGGCGCATAGGAGGCACTGGGTTCAATCCCCAGCACCACATAAAAATAAATAAACAAAATAAAGGTATTGTGTCCATCTACAACTAAAATAAGTAAATAAATAAACTAAAAAAAAAAAAATTGCCTTTAAAAAAAAAAAGAGAAAGAAGTTCCTAGGAATAAATCTAACCAAGGAGGTAAAAAGAACTCAACAATGGATACTATAGAATTCTGAAGAGAGAAGACACAGGATGGAAAGTCCTCCCATGTTCATGGATAGGCAGAATTAATATTGTTAAGACGGCCATGCCACCAAAAAGAATATACAGGTTTAGTGCAACCCCCATCAAAAATACCAGTGACATTCTTAACAGAACCAGGGGGGTGGGGGGAAGCCTAAAATTCATTTAGAAGAGTGAAAGACCTTGAATAGCCAAAGCACTTTTACACTGAAAAAGCAGTGCTGGAGGCATCATAAATACTTGAATTCAAATTACACTGCAGAGCTATCGTAACAAAGTCTACATAGTACTGACATAAAAATAGACACACAAACCAGTGGTACAGAATAGAAACCCATACATCTACAGTCATTTGATCCTTGACAAAGGTGCCAAAAACATACAATGGAGTGCAGCCCTCTATGTGTCCCCTGGTGAGGAGGCCCCAGACCATCCCTGCACCCAGTCCTACTTCACATAGCAGGAAATGTGCGCTCCTTAGTCACCTGGGCTCTGCTCCAGAGCCTTCTCCCTGAGGAAGTGATTCCAGATGGTCGCACTCTCTCTGTTGCAGAGCCAGCCACCTTCTGTCCCACCTGTTCATAGATGCCTGCTTGTTGTCAGTGCCCTCGTAGTGCAGACATCTTGGGCAGGACTGTGCTTGCTCCTAGCTATGGAGCAGGAGGTCTGTTTCTCTGCCACACTCGTCTGCCTCTGTGGCCCTGCACCCTCCTTTCAGCTGTCAGCACCTTGTGCCCATAGGAGAGTGGGTTAGGCAGTTCTGGACCATGCAGGACTGTGATCCCCAACACTGGAACTTAGGTCTCACACCTCCTAGCAGCCTCTGTTCTTCTTTAACACCACTACCACTCGCTGCAGAGGGATATTTGCTGTTTCTGCTTGGTGCACAAGGGAGAAGCTCTGCAGCTCTGCCTCTCTCTTCAGGGCCATGTTGATGTCTGTGGTATGGAACCCCATGTGTGCCATTTCAGGTTCTTTAAAGTCTGACCCTGTCCACCTGTTCAGCATGGCCAGGACTAGCCTCATGTGGATATGGCCTGGTATATGATCGCAAGTGTGTGTCACATTCCCTACAGTGGGAATGGTGTCATTGGAAACTGCAATTCAAACTTTGTGAGAAGTTGCCAACACCTTCAAACAGGTGTGCCCCACCCCTGTACCAGTTGTGTACCAAAGAGCTTGTTTCTTCACTCGAAACTGTTGGGTTTCTGCTTCTGATGGGGAAAGTAGTATTTTATTATTTTAATGCAATCTTTCACTGTGAATGGTGCTAACATCTTTTGATACACCTACAGAATGTATCTCTAGTTCTGTTTTAAATACAGATTGGGTCATGGCTCCTCCAGAGCTTCCTCTTCCCTGCCCTCTGAGACCAGGAAACCAGTGTCCCCAGTGCCTAGCACAATGCAGTCTCACCAGTGGAAGCCTCCATCCCACCTGATCACGGACTAGGTGCATGGGACTTTGGGCATGGCCCATGTCCCCACCAGCCTCAGCTCTTAACTAGTACCCCATGCCCATCAGACTGATGGCAGTGCCCCTGTGTGAACACCCGAGCTGCAGGGCCAGGAAGGGGGACCAAGAGCCGTGCCAGCAGGGCAGAAGACTGCAGCACAGACCACACATGCTGTGCTTAGCCCAGCACAGCTACCTGAGACCCACTTCCACCCACGAGGCTCGGGCAGCCAACCAGTCAGCTTGCCCAACAACACAGAGCAGAAACAGCCTTCAGATCCATGCATCTTAGATCTGGCACTCCCCGTGGGGGCCTCCCCTGGCCCCATTCTCCCCGCACCACTGCTGCACTTTCCTAGTTTTACTTATTTCATGCAAGTTTGGGGGCCTTTAAGGAGGAGCGTCCTGTGGCAGAAAGGGACTCGAAGGTGTAGCACAGCCAGTGTGGAGTAGCTCAGACCCAGTGCAGCAGCCTCTCCCCTGTCCCCCGTGGGAGCAGTCCCACTGGAGTGTGATGGGAACCATGAGTATCCCCACAAAGCACAGAGAACACATGCTGCACTGTGACCTCCTGGTCCTCACAGCACCCAGGCCGGGACATGCTGGTCCTGCGTGAGATGAAGACGACCACAGTATGCATGGGAGTGGACTCCATGGTGCCTGAGGCCACCTGGGGACCACAAGTGACTGGGCTTCTCATTTCCAGTGTGGAAACATGGCTCGGGAAGGGCTGCGAACACTTGTGGTGGCAAAGAAGGCATTGACGGAAGAACAGTACCAGGACTTTGAGGTGAGTGACTCATCACCTGCCCTTTGTGAACTCTCCTGCCCTGCAGGCCTCTGTCTGTACTCAGGTGCATCCTGACATTGTGCATGAGCACTCAGGAAACCAGTGTCCCCAGTGCCTGGCATAAGGCAGCCTCGCCAGTGGGAGCCTCCATCCCACCTCCCCTCAGTCTGGAGGTAGGGCAGGGGCATGTGCACAGCAACAAGGTTTGCACCTTCTGTCTTTCCCAGTGCTCAGGGGAACATAAGTGGTTCAGGCTTTGGAGTTGCTTGGACTTTGGAATATTTGCACAGACATGACCTGGTTTAGTGTCTCTAACCAAAAATTGCAGAATGCTTCAAGATCTGTTGTCTGTGCTCATTTTATATCCAACTTCAGAACATTGTAAATTGCAGATTTCTGGATGAGGGATGCTCAGCCTGTGTTGTGGATTTATTTAGTAAATAATTGCAGACCAGGCATGTGGACCATACACATGTCCCTTGTGTCCCAGAGCCGATACAGTCAAGCCAAGCTGAGCATCCATGACCGCGTACTGAAGGTGGCCGCAGTGGTAGAGAGCCTGGAGAGAGAGTTGGAGCTGCTGTGCCTCACCGGCGTAGAGGACCAGCTGCAGGCTGACGTGCGGCCCACGCTGGAGATGCTGCGCAACGCTGGAATCAAGGTGGTGCCTGCTGCCCTGGCTCCTGGGATTCCTCTGTTAAGCAAACTGTCTTTTCCTTTGGAGTATTGTTCTGTGGCACTCCTGGGGTGGTGGGTGGAAGAATGTGGGAAGCAAAGCTACACCTATCCCCCATCCTTCCTCAGCTTCACAGCCAGATATCCAGAAATATCTGCATTGTCCTGCCTTCAGACTTTGCTTCCCCTGGTTTTGTCCATCCACATAACATGTGCACTTCTGAAGACAGTCGTGAGGACCCACAGCCCCTGCCCAATGTCTACAGTCTGTGGTTTAGTCACAGGCTCTTCAAATCAAGTTTCCTCACTTGCCATCACCCTGCTGGTCAGAATCCTGTGTCACAGGACTGAGTGTAAACACTCTTCCTGAAATAATCGCAGTCTTGCCAAATCCAAGTTGCCCAAGCAGCTTCTGCCATAGGCAGCACATGTTGGGTGAGGAGAGGAGAAGGGCAGAACCCCAGCCTCACAGGGACGTTGGTTCTTACACGCAAGCCGTGCACATGCAGAATCCGGTGTGTCCCAGAGCTTCTGGCTAGGATATCCATCATTACAGAGGATGTCCAGGAGCCTATGCTCTCTGTCTGCGTCCACGCTGTCATGGAGTCAGAAAGCACACTCCTCGCACTCCTGCTCAGCTGCTGAGCTGCTGAGCTCAGCAACAGGGTTTCTTGAAGAGATGGTATGCGCATACAAAGCAAAGGCGGGAATATCTCCTCCCTCTGGCTCCTTGTTGGACATACTGGGTTCTTCTCTGGGTCTGCTGCTGACTCAGGCCTTGGGAGGGTGCCCTGGCCAACATAACCCCCAGCTCCTCGCTACTCTACAGCTGCAGGTTGGCAGCTGACATTTCTCTCATAATTGGTTTGTTGGGTTTGAGTTGAGGTTTGTGGTGCATTTTCCTTGGGAGCCATGTGGCCAACTGCCCTTTTCCCTGGCTGCTGACCTGCCATTTTTTCTTCTGACTGTTGAGGTCCTCAATTCCCCGAGGGAACTAGCACTTCCTGGTGTAAGTTTTGTTTTTTAGGAAACTGCTTTCTTACCTCACATTTTCATTGAAGTTGAGAGTTCGGTGACAGGCTGGTTGAGAACATTTATTCTAATACTGTCCAAAGGATTTGGAACCTACTTTTGAGGATGGAAAAAGTACAACTAGCTAGAAAAACTCTAGCTAGACAGGAAAGGTGAACTGAAGGGAAGGTGGGAGGCAAAGCAGTGCCTGGCCCACCTCCCTGCCCAACCCTTAGATTCTGGGGAACTTCTGTGGGAAGGCCAAGGAAATCTGGTGGCAGTGGGAAGCAGGCCCTGAGGCTGCATGGTGGGCAGAGCATTGTGCAGACAGGGAGTTCAGTTAGGGAGAGCAGTTGGGACTGGGTATTTAAAATCACCCATGACATGGTACAGCCAGGACACTGGCAAAGGGTGTGATCAGTTAGACACATGTTGGTTTTAAATGCCTTCAGTCTATTTCTCAGTCACGCGTGCCAGATTGTCCATGTGTTACAGTAGTGAACGTTCACGATAGGAAGGTTTGGGCATTAGTACTCCATGATAACCTGTGGGAGGTTTCCCATCTAAAGCACCAGGCCCTTTTTCTCTGTACAACGTGTCCAGCCTGACTCCAGATCAGCCTCTGAAGCGGGAAGGCGCATCTCACACTCAGTTCCTGGTGACAGATTGCTAAGCAGCGGTGGTTTGTTCACTTGGCTCCTTATCTTTGTTCCACTAAAGTGCATGAAGACATGTAAATGAGTAGAAAGCACAAGTCTTCAGGCAAGGAGAAGAGCCACAGTTGGATCACACTTAAACAAATAATTAATATTTCATGTTTTTTGTTTCCTGTTTCCAAAAATGTCTTTTGGTATGTTACATAAGAAATCTGAGAAATTCCAATGATGAGAATATTACAGGAAGTTTTTTGATGTTATATAAAATACTTTGATATATATTAAATGCCCAGATATTTTATTTTTTATCTGCAGATATATGTACATAATATGTGTATGTATATGCAGTTTTTTAAGTGGAAAAGTAGCATTGTTTGATGTGTTTTATTTGATGTAAATTACTTCTGGCTTAGCTGTGGGCCCTCTGCCTATTTGAGCTTCACCTTCCACCTGAAAAAATCAATAAGTTGAAATAAAATTCTTTATGATCTTGCTAGTGCTGTGTGCAACCTCGTCCACCCTGTTGGTTTGGTTGGAAGGCTATATAAAGTTACCTTTGGGCATCTATAGATATCCACTTTGACTCAGCCATGTGTGACTGACACAACCGAGTTGCTAGTCAACATGCCTCCACATCTCATGGCTGTCTGCACATCACTTTGCTCTTACTTGTTCTGCCTAAACAAGTCAGGGTAGACACAGCAAAACCAGTTTTCAGTGCATGAAGAACCTCACAGCGCTTTGTAGCCATCACCACCATCCATCTCCAGGACTTTCCTCTTCATAAACTGTCCCCATTAAACCCCAGCTCCCCAGCCCCTAACCATACCATTCTGTCTATAGATTGGATTTATCCGGGGACCTCATACAAGTGGAATCATACAGTGTTTGTCCTTTTGTACCTGGGTTATTTCCCTTGCCATAGTGTCCTCACATTCCACCTGTGTTGCTCCATGAGTCAGAACTTCCTCCTCGTTAAGGCTGAATGATATGTCATGGAATGGTAGACCACATCCTGGTTATGCATTCATCTGTCAGTGAACTCGGGTTGCTTCACCTTTGGGCTTTGTGGTAATGCTATGAATGGGGCGGGAGGGGTGTACGAGCAACTGTTCAGGACAGATGCTTTTAAGACATAAAGTATCGTTGCATTGTTGAAGTTCACCAGTTTAAATTGTTTCATAGATATGGATGCTAACAGGTGATAAACTGGAGACGGCTACTTGCATTGCCAAAAGTTCACATTTGGTGTCTAGAACACAAGATATTCATATTTTTAGACCTGTAAGTATGTTTCTGAATCACTTTGAAATTTTAAATGTTTTATCTCACACTTAAAATCTGTTATTTTTGTAAAAATGTATATGCAGTTATTAATTACTAAATATCTTTTTTTAAAATACTTTTTTAGTTGTAGATGAAAACACAGTATCTTTATTTTTATGTGGTGCTGAGGATGAACCCAGTGCCTCAAAATGGGAGGCAAGCACTTTACCACTGAGCTACAGCCCCAGCCACAATTACTAAATATCTTTTTAAAAAGAAATGCTGTCATTTTTTCTTACTCAACTTATAAAAAACAAGTTAAAATAGTTTTTTAGTTACATTAAATGTAATAAAGAAGATGGCTTTTTGATAGTGACCAAGCTCTAAATTCAAAAGCATTTTTCTGTTATATTCTTAGCATTATTTATTGCTATTTTTAAATAGACATACCTCCAATACATAAAAATAAATATTTATTTTACAATACATTTTTGAATTAGTTACACATATTACATGTGGCTCAGAGGTAGCTCTTGTGAAACACATTCTAAACACAATGTAGGAATATGTTTTTAAAATATTGCCATTTTCACATTAAATGTTCTTCCTTAATTGACTCAAAGAAAATTAATAGAAGTTATCTAAATTTATGTGTTTACTGTATGTATTAGTTATGACTAAATTTAATTCACACAAAAATAAAAGTTCTTCAGCCTTGATTGATGGTGAGTGAACAGACACTGTGGTCTGTAGCTGTCTGAATGCAGCTCTGACACCTACAGAAATGGCTGTTTGAGAGTCATTTGCATGTAAATGTATTTTGTTTTGAAGCACAGAATCACAAATTAGGCCCCGCAGACTACTATTTGCAATTAAATTATTAATGCTTCTGATAAAACTTTGGATCAATTTTTGTTGACTTTTCAGTGTTATAGCACCACAAATTAAATTTTTCACAATAACCTACCTATTTACAGATGAGTTTGAGATTAATTTGGATCATGAGAAGCTTAATTCATTTCACTCCCATAACATTTATTTTATTCCCTATAAAATCTCCACAGAAAGAATGTTGAAAATGCATACCTTAGTTTCTGACATCTTCTCACTCAAAAATTAATGATATTCCAAGATTATGAATTAATTTTACTCGTTTAGATTGCTTAATCCTTCAGACATCAAACAAAATGGGATAGATGGAAAACCAGGGCAGAGACAACGGGGGGTTTTACAAAAGCCTCCCACACTTCCTCCACATTGTGAAAAGAGACATCTTTAACACCAGGATCTCAGACAGTTGTGCCTCTCCCCTGGCATGTGGCCAAGGACCCTGTCTCCTCCAGCCAGGGCTCCAAACAGCAACAGTGTGGTGTCCCCACAAATATTACGATATATTACGATTTTTATATAAAAAATCATTTTTGTAAACACTGTGGGCTTTCATGCAACTTTTGATAATAAATGTGATTTATTTTATTTTAAAAAACTGGCTGCGTTCCTGGTGCTAAATACCATCTCACCTGCACCCCACTCTGCCTCTCTCCTTGCTAAATCCTCACCTCACTTAGGGCACTAGAATGTGTCTCAGGTGAATTTACTCTCAGAACTGGCCTGACCTGAGCAGAAGGGAAGCCAGCCCCAGGTACCGCTCAGGTGTGTTTCTTGGGTGCGGTGCTTTCTCTGCTTTTATTTGCAGCAAATCGAAAAATGGTCTGTTAACAGTCAATGGAGAGTGCAGTAGAAATTTGAAGGGACCTTGTTTAGCAATTGAGGTTCTCGACACTGTCCAAAGGCCCCTACCGTGATTTCTTGAAGCACATCCTATTGGTCTATTGCTCTAATTTTGAAGACTTTTAACCTGTACTAATCTTTTCTATGGAGGTGACCAGTCGAGGAGAGGCCCATTTGGAGCTGAATGCATTTAGAAGGAAGCACGATTGTGCACTGGTCATATCAGGGGACTCCCTGGAGGTAAGACCAGGCCCCAATACAGCGTGTGTCTATCTGTCTGTCTCATGAGGCGAGGCTGGGTCCGAATACAGCATGTGTCTCCTGAGGCAAGTTTGGACAATAATATAGAATGTATCTGTCTGTCTGTCCCTTATAGTTATCCAGGGCTTCTTGAGGGATGTGCTGTTAGGTGGCCCTGCCTCTCTGCTATCTTATGCTTTCCTATCACCCATAAGGCACGTTCGACTGTACAGTCAGGGCTGAGCATGTCCTGGCCTGTACCCACTGTTGAAGGCTGGTGATTTCAGCTGACCCGGATCTCTGCCCCTTGGTAAGAGCTCCACCTCCTTGCAGCCTTGGTGTGGTTCCTGTCTTTATCTAAGCCAGTGATCCAGGCATGTGTGGGTCACCGGAGAGCTCCCTGTCAGGGGAAGCACTCTCTAGTCCCATCTGTCCTCCTCTTGACCCCAGGGTACTAGGAGTGCACAGGTCCTGGTAAGGGCTGCAGGTAGCCACACAGGTGGAGTTGGCTTGACTGGACCCAGGCCCTGGCCTTGTTTGGCTGTGGGCCATTCCTGAGGTGGTAGTGTCACTCAGCATCTGGGTCTTGTCCTGGGCAGGGGCGGCTACATAGATGGGCGCCTCTCTCCACACTACTTCTGCATGGGGTGCTGTCCTCGATGACCTCAGATTGCATGTGCTGCTTTCCCAGAACAGCGTGCCCAGAGGTTGGCCCTGAGACCACAAGGCTTCTTACTGACCTCTGGCCACCAAGAGCACCGCTTCAGTTGCTCTCCTTGCTCAGGTTGCAGAGGTTGCATCTGGCCCCTGAGTAGACATGCCTCCTCAGGCCAGGGAAGTGGTCCTGTGCTATCCACAGTTGCATCCTGATTTTATGTTCCCATCTCTGAGTCCAGGGGAAGACTCCACAGCCGGCTGAAGAGTTAGTGAGCCAGAGTCTGAAGTGCTTATTAGTCCAGTGGCGTCACCCTGCACCTCTCTATGCTAGCTGGAGCCATGGCCACTGTGCTTCCTCAGTTACCTGGTCACTCTGTCCCTTGGCTGTCACAGTCTGCCTCTCTGATGGCCCTGTAGGTGCCGGGCCCTCTTCCCGGCAGGAAAGGGCACAGGCACTTTCCTATCTCTACCATGTTGGTTGGTGTCACTTGTACTTACTGTGTGTGTCGAGTTTTGCAGGCATGTGGTGTGAATGACCAGACTGTCCCACCACGGCCCCTCCACTTCCCATCCTCCTCCTGTTCCTAACACATGCCAAAGACCCCTTTAGGCCCCATATTTTGTTATTTGTTGCCATGTCTCCAAATAACAGTGTTTGTAGAGCTATAAGTTTGGCTCATTTAAGTTTTTATTGCATCTATCTAGTGCCTGCTATTCATTATCTGAGCTTCATTCTCTTTCCTCTCCATGTTCCCTATTCAGTTAAATGGTGATTTTGGTTGAGTTCATTGGTGGATAGGTGGCACTTATTTTCTTATATTCTGAAATTTGGGAGTTCTGAAGAGGGTTCAGATAACTGACCAAAAATACACATATTAGGTGAGAATAAAAATTATGCAAATGAGGGGCTGGGGTTGTGGCTCAGCGGTAGAACGCTCGCCTGGTACATGCAAGGCCCTAGGTTCAATTCTCAGCACCACACAAAAAATAAATAAAAATAAAGGCATTGTGCACAACTAAAAGAAATAAATATTTTTTTTAAAATTATGCAAATGAGAACATCAAAGCAAAGGAAACGAAAACAGTCAAGTTGTGCAAGAATGAGCACCTTGCGGTCACCAGGTGTATCTGCAAATGTGGCTTTGGGCTTCTTTGTCCCCAAGAACAGAAGAGAAGATGGCAAGAGATTCCAGTGGCCACAATCCCTGTTCAGACAGGTAGCAGTGTGCTCTGGTGTGCAGCCAGTGGCTGGGGAGAAAGAAGCACTGTCTTCTCAGGGCTTTTGTTCCTGTGGTCGGAGGACCTGGAGTCTGAGACCTGTCCTTCGTGCGAGGAGAGCATTTCAAAGCTCCTGAGAGAGTGAGCAGGCTCAGTGCCCTCCAGGCAGTGCATCGAGACTCTGGTTTCTTGACCAAGGGAGTGCACGGGGAGCTGGTGGACTCCCCTGTTCCTTGGCAGGGGTCGTGAGCACCTGATATCCGAGGTCAGTCAGGTGTCTTCATCACCACAGTGCTGGGAAGGAGGGGCTGGAATCATCTTGAGCAGCTTTCCCCAGAGTGGCCCCAGCACTGGCCCCAGTCACATCAGCCTGGAGACACCTTTTGCCTCATGGCCACCAGCTCTGGGCCTGACCACCCTCGCCGTGCTTTGCCCTTCCTGGTGGCCCTCGTTGTCCAGCCTTGATGCACTGGTCTCCCCCAGCTCACAGCTCCTCTTCTCACAGGGCCGTGGGCCCACTGGCTGCCACATCCCCCAGCTCCCACAGGGTCGGCATGGTCACAGGTGAGACCCAGAAAGAGCCCTGGTTTTGCAGCCCCTGCTGTGCTCCGTGCCTTTGCTCAGCTGCAGAAGCACGCAGTGCACAGTGAGCGTGGCGCTCTGTCTTGCAGGTCTGTCTGAAGTACTATGAGCACGAGCTCGTGGAGCTGGCCTGCCAGTGCCCCGCCGTGGTGTGCTGCCGCTGCTCTCCAACCCAGAAGGCCCACATGGTGACACTGCTGCGGCAGCACACGGGGAGGCGCACCTGTGCCGTCGGTGAGCCACCGGGCTTCCACGTGGCGGGGGAGGGGCATAGCAGAAGGGCTGTTGGTGGGCGGGACGCCACCGCCCTCCTCAGCAGTGAGATCTTAAGAGCAGCTGGCTTCTTGACGTCGCAGGCAAAACCGTGTTTCATCCCTGCACTAGATTGACTGAAGCCGAGTTACTGACAATTCCTTAAACAATCCCAGCTGGTAACACAGAAAACATGATGCTGGATAGGTGCTGTATTCACTTAATACCCCACCTTCTTGTGCTTCTCAGGTGATGGAGGAAATGATGTGAGCATGATTCAGGCAGCAGATTGTGGCATTGGGATTGAGGGAAAGGTACGTCTGTCTCTTTGTTTTATGTATTCTTATCACATCCTCAGCACATGTACAGCCCACACCTGCATTTAGCATGCATTGGGTCTGCACAGAATCAGTGCCTCCTGGGTCCACATGTATTTAAGGTCCTCATTTGTCCAAGCCCTGAGCTGTGTTCTTGAGTAAGAGATAGGTAGGTCAGAGTCACGCCCTTCTGTTATTTACTCCATAACTGGATGCCTGTCTGAGATGCTTGTAAACCAAAGTGGGTTGGCAAGCCCTCAGCATCCCCCAGTTCTCGTGGCCTGCTGGGACTTATCCTCTAAGATACTTGTGCATGGGGCTTGGCTGGAGTGTCCCCAGCACACCTTGGTTGGTCTCTTCAGTACCACAGCTGCTCTCCTCTGTTTATCTACCACTTCCTCTTCATGGGCATCCCTAATTCCTGGCCATGTGAACCATGGTTGTGGTTTGTCTTCCTGCCAGCCTTGACCACAGCTCTTATCGTGGCTTAAGTAGGAACATACCAGAAAGACCTGGAAAGTTCACCCAACTTGAGTTGGCTGTTTCCTTGACTGCTTTGTCTGAAGTGTTTTACAGCAAATTTTGTGAAGTAGGAGATAGTTTTTGCAGTCATGACAGAGCTGAGGTGTGGGGAAGGGCCTTGAATGGTGTGGTCCATACTGTCCCTTTGCCTTACTTCTGTGCGGCTGCTAGACTGCTAAAGCCATTTCTTCTGCAGCACTTGTGAGCACCTCCTCCTGATGCCCACAGGCAGGCACCTTTAGGCAGGCGGGCAGGCAGGTGCCCAGTACAGACCTGATACACCCACATCACCCGATGCCCGGGATGCCCTGTGGGGAGCTTCCATGGCCATGCAGGAAGAGCTGCAGGTTTCCATCTGTCCGGGTCAAGCTCCCGAGCTCAGCTCACAGTGTGCGTGCTCCGCAGCACAGTGTTCTGCAGAGGCGCCTGTGTGTTTCTGCTCCAGGAGGGGAAGCAGGCCTCGCTGGCAGCGGACTTTTCCATCACACAGTTCAGACACGTCGGCAGGCTGCTCATGGTGCACGGGCGGAACAGCTACAAGAGGTCCGCAGCTCTCGGCCAGTTCGTCATGCACAGGGGCCTCATTATCTCCACGATGCAGGTACTTAGGCCTTTTGTGTCCAGGGTGCCTGCAGAGAGTGACAGATAGCACTTAGAAGCGACTGTGACAGCATCACAGCTTCATTGGATGTCGTATTTTTAATTAGATGTGTTACTCACTCTGAGAAACCTGCATGAAAAATGATGTTCAGGTGACCAACAGCGGCTGTTTCTAACTTATGGTTTTCTGTCTTTAAGGCCGTGTTCTCTTCAGTCTTCTACTTTGCGTCTGTCCCCCTGTACCAGGGATTCCTCATGGTGGGGTAAGTGCAGTTCCTTGCTCATGGTACCCAACTCAACAGAAAAATGCGTGTTGAATACTGAATGATATTTTGGGCAGTTCTGCATCCTTTGTCATACAGTCAGCGTTTGGGATAAGCACCACTGATGTGAAGGCTGAGGCTGTGCTTGGGGAACTCCGGGCAGTACCTGCACACTTGTGCCTCTTGCGACTGCTGCTTCATTTTTCACACAGATTGTGTGTTCATGGGGAGGCTGTAATTTGTGTCAGGAAGTAGGATGGAGCTGAAATCTTATAAAAAAGAACCCCATGGCTTATGAGAGTGGCAGAACCAAGGGGTAAGCATTTGTGGAGGCTGTCATTCCCAGAATGGAGCCAGCTGGGCCAGCTGCAGGCCTCTCAAAACCTGTCCCTGTCCTGGCAAGAAAGTGGGTCTTCATGTGGGGACTTGACAGTCACCAGTCAGGAACACACAGAACAGAAGGCACTGGGCTGTCTGCCTCCTGAAATTTGGGTGAGACATGACCTGTTCCAGAACAGGCACTAGAAGTCTGTCCCCAGCAGCAGTGAAACCTCACATCTGAAGATCCAGTGCACCAAAGCACGCTGCACACATGAGCTGGAGTAAAGCTAGGTGATCTTAGCCACCATATCTGTGAGACAGGAGTTTCCTCTAAAAGCAGTTAAACTGGGATCTCACCCCCTCACCCACTGTGGTCATGCACAGAGATGACATCAGCACGGATGTTAGTGTGTGGCCATGCCTCCGCTGCTCTCTGTGTCTGCAGAGATCACCGCCTACCCCAGAAAGGGCTGCCTCCTATGAGCAGAGCCTGGGAACTTGGTGACCACTTACATCCATCCCCATCCCACCCCATTGTCAAGGGGAGAAGGAGAGGCTTTGGCTCAATGGCTTGCTCGTGGGAGGCATGGCCAGGCTAGGCCCATCAGCCAGCTTCCTGCACACTTGTACCAGCACCTCTCCCTGTGCTCAGCTTCCTTCCGGGCAGCAGAGGACACATGAGTGTCTGTAAGAGCATCCTAAGTGCTGTGTTGTCTGGTCATTCCTTGAATCCCCAGAATTCCTGGTAATGTGAGCAAGATACAGAGGAATGACGGTCCTTGCGAGTGTTAGGTTTTTGTTCCACGTGAGGTGCCCGGGCATTGATCGCATCCCAGTCAGAGCCAGTGGGAGTGCTGCCTGCCATGCCTAGGGCTCCCACCTCACCCCACTTTACCTCCCCTCACCCCACCCACCCTCCAAGCCAGCGCTGCATCCTACTGCCCTTCCTAGTGCATCTGCCTGTCTCCACAGAGCACTGCGCCCCTTCTGTGGATCCGTGTGTTCACACTGGCCTGTCCAGGCAAGCCAGGATAATCTCCCATCTCAGGGTCCTGAGCACTGCCACCTTGAGCTGGTGCTAGAGAAGAGAATGTGGACATGTGCCCACAGAGTGGCATGATTCGAAGGAAGAGGGCCTCATATCTCAGACTGGGACTGCATACTGCCTCCCAGTCACAGGAGACTCCGTGTCCTCATCTGACAGGAAATTATAATATGGAGCCTCAGGTGGTGGTATGTGGCATGGACATGCCACATTCCAGCATAGAGCTCAACTAACCAAAATTAACCCGAGTCTGCCTCTACCATATCACCCAGCACAGGCTATCCCAGTTGGTACTCTGGTCCAAAATAAATGATAGCTTATCTTCACAAGAAAAATTCATGCAGTGAATGTCGACTGCAGTGTTGTTTGTGATAACCCCAGACTCAGGGTAACCACAGTGCCCCACAGTGTGCAAATGAATGGCTAAGCAACCAGGGCCCCTTTACCACCAGGATGCTGGTGCAGCCATACCCAGGGTCACCTTCTGGGACCAAGCAAGTGGAGAACCCCAAAGGCTGCCTGCCATCTGGTCCATTGTTCATGTGGTAGTCCACAAAAGAGGTAGAGATAATAGAGATGGAGAACAGGTTGTTTCTGGGCTGAAGGAAGAGGCAGGTGGGCGGCAGGGTTCTGTGTGGGGACGCTGTCTGCGTCAGCATCCCACCAGCAAGGCTGTTCTAAAGTGCTACAGAACACTGCCCTTGGGGGAGTTGGGTGAGGTACTAGGTACTTCATGTTAACATGACAACTGCAGAGAAGTCTGACCTCAACCTTGCAAATGTTTAATAAGAAATGTTTATCTTTAAATGGATTCCACTCCCAGTAAGCATTTATGGCTTACAGAACATGCTACTGATCAGAAATAATCTTACTGTGTTGCCAACTTCGATGTTTTATCTTGTTTTCATGGGATGTCTTGGGTTTTTGAAACTTCAATCTACCTCTAATTTTAGTTGTGTTGCAGACATTTTTCAGGCTAACTAAATGTTCTTGGCCTCTAAGGTATGCAACTATCTACACCATGTTTCCAGTGTTCTCCTTGGTGTTGGACCAAGATGTAAAGCCAGAAATGGCGATTCTTTACCCAGAGCTGTACAAAGACCTCACCAAGGTATGGCCCTTTGCCCACAGACTGCACACACGTGCATTCTGAAGTCTTGTTGGTAGTCGTTGTCCTTGCAGATACTTCTTACTTCTCCTCTGCAGTTTTGACATTTTTCCTCTTGAGTTAAAGAGGGGAGGGGACCTCTCAAGTGTTGACCGTAGAGCTCCAATGGCACACATGTGTTTAACAGCCTTTGGAGCTTCTGTGAGCTCAACGGGCAGGCATCCTTGGAAACCGAGAAGAGCTTGTGCCTTGATTTCTGTGTGAAGGACCCTTACTACCTGTGCTTCACCCAGGCAGCATGGATGCCCTTTCCCAAAGAGGTGCTTCTTATTTATTCATTCCCAAAACTAGAAATCGATGGCATCATTGGCCAGGCATTTTCTATAATCCCCAGTCTCTAGTGTTGGTTCAGAATTCCATCTGAAAAGTGGCTGGCCGTGTTGTCTAAGTCCCTGAGATGTGTGCGCTGCTGTGCAGGGATGCTGTGAGGAGAAAGTCCACCTGGCAGCTTTCCCTGACTGACGGCACAGGGATCTACTTCCTTGACAGTGTGCTCTGTTAGGAGTCAAATGTTCCTGAAGGCAGTTTTGAGTTTATCATGTTTGTATATGAAAGCATATTTTTATTTCATGGAAAATTTAAGGACACAGTAGAGGAAAATCTCAGCTCTCCAGATATAAATTCTGGTTGCTTTGAAATTTTCCACATTGAAAGCTTCTCTTGAACCACCACTGAGAACAAAACCCACCCAGCCCTCAGTCAAACTCAGAGTTGTTAGAGCTCTAGTATTGTGGAATAGGGAGGAAAGAATTCAGTGCTCAAGAAGCAAAATTCTGGTCCAGCTGACTGCTAACTAGCAGACTAGACTCTGGCCCGGCTGATCCTTATAGATGCTAGTCAGCTAACCACATTAACAGACCAAAATCTAATCTATTAATCACTAACGGAATTAACTATTTCAGCCAACCATGAAATGATGGATGACTAGTCCAGTTGACCACTAACAGGCTAGATTCTTGTCAAGTTAATCACTAATTAACTTTAGGCCACCTACCGCTAAGACCAGACTGTGGCCTTGCTAACTAGCTACCCAGAGTAGTGCTTGATGAGTCATGTTACATTTTGAATTTCTGAATTACATTTTTTTTGTACTAATCTGATGGAAAAGGGGTTGTGAACTTTCTTGAAAACCTCTATGTCTTTTATCAGGACAGATAGACCTACTTCAGCTGTGTGCACAAAACTAGGTATAAATGTCAAGCATTATTATCATGCTGATAATGTCGTGACCAGCAGGGAGATCCCCAAGCTGTGCACTCAGCAACTAGAGGACTTGTGGTTGATATGCTGAAATGACGAAGCCTTTGTGAGGGTACGGAGTGGGGCCAGTGGTCCAGAACCACAGGGAGCTTTGCAAAGAATCTGTTTCCATAGCTTATGCACAGCCCCATTTCCCGAGACTGGGAGTGTTTGTTCAATGCTCGTTCATAGCTAGCAGGCAGAAATCATCTCTTCCTCACAAGCAGAAGCCCAGAGTTTCTGGTTGTACACCTAGGCAGTTGGTACCCAGCAGAGTCAGGACCTCCACGTTAAGGAGGATGCTCATCCGCAGGTAACAACAGCAAGCACAAGCTACCAGGCATCACATGGCTGTGGCCGGCTCTGCAGACTCAGGTCCTATCCACTGTGGATATCTGAATTATCCAGGTACAAGAGCTGCAGGCAGGCACCAAGCATCTGCCAGACCGCTCTTGCCTTGGGCTCCAGCCACAGGGTCAGTGCTTGCTGTCATTAGATGACCCCACTTAACAGGGTGTTGCACACAATCTGACTGAGCTGTATCTCAGCCAGCGTCTGAGTCTCCATCAGGAAGCCAGTAGTTCAGAACGCTTCAGTGTCCTACACACTGATCCTACATTTTTTTGACAAGAATTCCATCACTCATTTTCTCTTAAATTCCATTAAGATCTGAAAATCTGTATTCTTTTTATCTTTGTAGTCTCTGTTTCTTTAAAAATCTAGTACTCTTCAAACCCTGTGAATACAAAAGTGCTCAACCACAAGTTGGTAGAATTGAAGGTTTTTCCTTCCTGAAGCTAAAGAACTGTTTTTGAAGGTTCTTCTTCTGATCACTTGCCAATGCACCGGTACAGCTGTTCTTTTCACCTTCTCTAATAACCCTGGTAGCCAGAGGCTGGCCATGCTGAAGCAGGACACCAAGCAAGCATCCTGATGCAGCAGGCTGGGAAAACACAAGTGTAGCCCCTGCTCTTGGCAAACCTGCATAATAGCAGGAAAAGAAAATGTTGGTCCCCGGTAAATCACAGGACAGCAGTGTGGAGTAAGGCATGGACTGCAAATGATCATCCCCAGATAGTTATCCAGCATGTGCCACACCACTCATCCAGAGGCACAGGAAATCTATGATTTCTTTTGGTGGGCACAGCCCTTGCACATCCAAGAGGAAGTACTGTACTCTTCAGTAAAATATCTTGGGTCTTTTGTATTTGATTACCATTCATTTCAGTCTAGAAGTATAAATGATGCAAGTATCACACATCTGCCTTACTGTTCTAATGAGGTCAGCCAGTCCTTATTCCTCTGTCTCTGTGGCCTAAATTACACCAGCTCTTTGGTGTCCATTACCAGGTGTGGTCATGGTAGTCAGCAAATGGATGAGGGAGTGAAGGAATCAACTTGTGCTTTTCTTATTCGTAAAACTGTATGGATGTATTTGCAGCAGCAGCACTGAGCGTCCTCTTCTGAGGCCCAGGACTCGCTCTGAATCACTCTGCTGTACTCATGCTGAGCTCAGTCAGTGAAACAGGAGACTGATGCACTCACACCTCATGACCCTGCAGTCACCTCCATAGAGCCCGATGCCTGTGACCTCCAAAGAAGCTAGTTAAATACACCTGTAATCCCAGCAACTCAGGAAGCTGAGGCAGGAGGCTCAAGGCCAGCCTGAGCAACTTTGTGAGGCTGTCTCAAAATATAAAAAGGGCTGGGGATGTGACTCAGCAGTAAAGCACCCCTGAGTTCAGTCGCCAATACCAAAAAATACACACACACACACACACACACACACGCAAGCCAATAAGGCCAGGTGCAGTGGCCCACGCCTGTAATCCCAGCTGCTCAGGAGGCGGAGGCAGAAGGATCAAAAGTTCAGAATCAATCTCAGCAATGGCGAGGCACTAAGCAACTCAGTGAGACCCTATCTCTAAAAATGCCCCTGAGTTCAATCCCTGGTACCCAGGGGGGTGAAAAAAACAATGAGTCTCAAGTGCAAGGAGCAAGACCAGAGAAGAGACTATGCCCAGCAAAGCCAGCCAGGTCACTCTTCCTGTCACCTTGTCCCATTTGCAAAGACATCAAGTAGGTAATGGCATGCTGATCTTCACATAAGCCTGAGGTTCCCCTGGTCCAGCTACTAGAACCACTCCACTGTTTCTTCTTTTCTAGAGAATATTCACAGAATGATTTTTTTACGGGGTGGAGGGTGCTGGGGATTGAATCTGGGAATGCTTTGCCACTGAGCTGCATTCCTACACACCATTCTACATTCTTAGACCTTCCTTTTGATTTAATTTTTATTTCATATCTTTGAGAAGGGGCTCACTAAGTTGCTTAGGGCCTCTTAAATTGCTGAGGCTCACCTTACTTGCATCTTACTGCCTCAGCCTTCCGAGTCACTGGAATTACAGGTGTGTGCCACCATGCCCAACTCAAAATGCGTTTATCTTTTGAAATGTATATTTGTGCTATTATATAATTTTTTAAAATAATGGTGAATAAGGCAAGAAACAGAAAGTAAAGACATGGAGATTAGAAAGTAGACAATAAAAATATTTGTAGATGCCAAAATTAACTAAGTACAAAATCCCAAAGAAAGAAAAAAAATTTAATAAGTCATTTCTAATTCTGTATACAACCGGTAAACAATGAGGTCAGAAGAAATGTAAGCACCATCTGCAGCATTTGCAGTAATACACAAATAGGCAGAGCACTCAGGGCAGCTCTGAGAGCACATGCAGGCCCCGTGTTCTAGAACCGTGCAGCACCACAGGTAGGCAGTGGTGGCACGTGTATGAGTGGGGAGACTGCATGTTGCTGACTGTCAACAGGCACATTCTGCACTTCAGATGGAAAAGCAGGGAACTGGGTTTGGCAAAACAATTTAGGAAACACAGAGTTGGTAGACTACTACCTGCTTTCAAGGCTTGCTGTACTGCAGGCCATACGTGATTAATCAGTCAATAATGATGAGGGTGATGTCAAAATGGCACAGAAAGCAACCCCAAAGACCTCCCAGTGGCTGAAGTGGAACCCAGTCAGCAACAGAAGAGATGACAGTCTCATTGTAACCAAAGAGTACAGTAAAAACCGCATCCAGGCTGATACACAAACAGCCCACCAAGGAGTGCATGATTGGCAGAGGATAGATGGAGGTCAGTAGGACAGAGGAGAGCCCAGAAACCCACCCATAGGCATTACTGGCCTTTGACAGGAAGTCAGGCAGAGGAGGAGTGATACCAACAAATGGTGTCAGGACAGCTGGCTACCCACATGCGACAAGAGCATCCCAAGTGCAGGGTCATTTACAGTGGACCATGGCCTAGATGCACATGGCAAGCCTTCTAGGAGAAAATACGCATGACCTTGGGACGGGCAGCACATTGTTAAGTAAGACATAAGGCCAAAAGCAGGACTCATAAAGGGAAAACATGATAAAACAGACCTTTGCTCTGTGAGTGATAGAGCTAAGTATATGAAAAGACAGGACACAGACTGGGAGAAACACTTCAAGTCATACAATGGACAGAAGACTGTTCATGTATGTGAAGAACCCTTAAAATTCAACAAGAAAATATCCCAGTTTAAGAGTGAGCAAAAAATCTAAACTGACACCATTCCAGAGATGATGTACAGACGTCAAGTAAAAATAAACATGGGAAATGCTGAACGTCATTTTTCTTTCAGGGAGTTGCAAACTTAGGTGACAGTGAGATAGAACCACACACTTGTTAGAATGGCCCAAACACACAGCACTGCCAGTCTGGAAGCTGGGGGACGGACGTGACCCCGCAGGAAGACTCTGCTGGTGGGAATGCAGAGTGGGACAGCCACTGGAAGCAGTTCGGCAGTTTCTTATAAAATTAATCATAATGTGTATGTGACCTAGCAATCCTATTCTAACTGTCTAACCAATAGAAGCAAAAACTTGTGCTCACTAAAATTCTGTCCACGATGTTTATGGCAGTTTTGTCATGCTTGCCCCAAACTGGAAGCAGCCAGATGTCCTCAGGCCAGTGAGTGGATGAGCATTCCAGGGAAGGTGCAGCCCTGCTGAGGTAGCATGGGGACAGCAGGAGTATAACCTTTGATTCTTCCCACACAGAAGAGTCTTAAGTGCCTCTTACTGGGCAGAAGAGCCCGATGCCACATTGCTTGGATTCCGGTGCCTGAAACCTGGGACATATACAACTGTAGGTCCCAGAGCAGATCAGTGGTAGAGGGGGGTTACCAGAAGGGGCTGCTGCATCTGGCACTGTGGTGTGCACACCTGCCTGTGCATGCCAGAACCCCTGGGACCTTGCCTCAGAAGGGACCAGGCTGTGATAGATGTATCAGCACCCAATCACATAGAGTGGGTGGGAGGGCAGGAGCTGCCTGAGTGACCTGGGATCTGCCGAGAGGCCAGAGACAGCAGTACACAGCCTGTAGGATCCTGTGATATATGCACTTTGACAGGGAAATCCCCTGTGTCCTGGGTATAGAATAGGTACAAACAAGTAGCAGACCTGTGAGCCAGGCCAAGTAGGAGCACCATGATACCAGAAAGTAAGGGACTGCTCAAAAAATCAATAATGATGGGGATGATGCCAAAAGGGCATAGGAAGCAACCCCAAAGACCTCCCAGTGGCTGAAGTGGGACCCAGTCAGCAATAGAAGAGATGACAGTCTCATTACAACCAAAGAGTACAGTAAACAAACGGATCCAGGCTGATTCGCAGACAGAAGCCCCTTCCCCTCTGAAGAATTCCAGTGGTAAATGTGAAGGAGCAAAGGAACAGGGAGGCAAATCAAGGGCCCCCAGAGCCGCTGTCAACGAGCACCCTTAGGGTAACTGAGCTTCGGAAAGAGACTGAAGAGAAACTGCTTTTGCCTCAGCTGAAGTTGGCTTCCCCAAGGTGCTCACTGTTACCAAGGCGCACACAGCAGTTCAGAGGCGGAGCCCCGGCAGCACAAGCCAGTAGCTCCTTGGTGGCTAGCGGATGCCCTGGTGACCTGCTGGAGCCCTTTGTGGAGTCCCTTCCCAACTGCCTCATCCATCCTTCAGAGACATCCTGCAGGCCCAGATTTAGGGCTTCTACAGATCTGATTGGTGGTTTCAGAAGTGTCCAGGTCATCAAAGACCAAGGAGGAGTCAGGAACTGGCCAGGTAGCAGGACACAGGGTTCTGGAAAGCTGGTGACGTCCAGTCAATGCAGCCCTTGGAGAGTTTCTGGTGCGCGCGCGCGCTCTCTCTCTCTCTCTCTCTCTCTCCCCCTCTCTCCCTCTCTCCAAAATATTTATTTTTTTAGTTGTAGTTGGACACAATACCTTTATTTCATTTATTTATTTTTGTGCCTTATTGAGGATCAAACCCAGTGTCTCTCACGTGTTAAGTGAGTGCTCTACCACCGAGCCACAACCCCAGCCCTTTGTCTCTCATTTTTAATTGCCTCTTTCATCTTTCTTCTCAAGACTCATCAAAAATTATTGTTATGTGAATATAACAACCAGGTTTTGTGTTGTAAATTGAGAAGACAGGGCTGGAGAACACAGTAGTGAGAAAAGTGGTAATGAACAAAGATACATGTTTCTGAGCATCTGGAACGTCCCTCTATGGGTCCCAGCTTCAACCAAACAGGTAATACATCACCTGTGTGCATGGCAGTCTCTTCCACACAGACTCATGCAGCATGCACGTGTGGACATACATGTCGGTATGATCCACATGTCACATGCAGCTTGGCTCTCATCCACTCATGTGCTCATGGGCACATGTCAACATGGATGTCAGTGTGATCCACACATGTTACACACAGCTTGACTCTTTGTACTCTAATTTATTCAAAGTGGATTAATGTTTTCTTAAAATTCTTGATTTCATCTTTTGCATTTTTGGTGCATTTATAATTGAAACAAATCTTCTTAAGTCTATAATGTTTAATTGGCAATACAGCAGTAGCATTTATTGAATTTACTGTTTCTGGGTTTGTGTGTATCTCCTTTCATGGCGTAATTTATTTAATCAGCATGAGGTCCGTACTACTGTCATCTCTGTTTCACAGAAGAGGAAACTGAGGTATGTAGATTAGATTCAGAGCCCAGGGACATGGCAGAAAGGGTGTGCTCGCTGGGGCTGACTGCAGGTGACCTTTGTCCTCATCCCAGGTGCTCGCATGTGCGCCTGTTGCATAGACTGGTCCTGTGGAATCCGTGTGGGAGACACGTGAATCCATCCATCAGAGCAACAGACAGTTCTTTCCTCTCCAGGAAGAGCAGCTGTTTACAGGAAACGTGCTGCCTCCGTGTGTGTTCCTCCAACACATGCAGGGAGGTTTTGTCTCGTAAGCTACACGGACTGTGAGTGGGCTTCCACGTCAAGATCAAGGCTATCTCTGCCCATCCCTCTGAGTCTGCTCATTAGTCCATGACTTGCTCAGTCTGCTCGGATATAGAAGCTTCCCAAGAGGTGCCATTTGACATGCTATTTGAAACAAGCATCTATTGATGTTTGCAGCTAACAAGAGAAATAGTATACGCCCCTTTAACCTTCAACCTAAATTGGTATTTACCTCACATAAGTAATGTGAAAGCTTCTCAGCAAATCTGATTACAAGGAAAATATTTATTATATCAATAAATTCTAATATATCTTTATTATATCAAGAAATTAAAGCCATGGGGCTAGAGTTGTAGCTCAGTGGTAGAGCACTTGCCTCTTAAATGTGAGGCACTGTGTTCGATTCCAAGCACCACATATAAATAAGCAAACTAAAAAAAAAAAAAAGCTCCATCAACAACTAAAAAAAAGAAAGAAAGAAAGAAATTAAAGCCGAGCACAGTGGCATATGCCTGAATCCCAGTGGCACTGCAGGAGGCTGAGGCAGGAGGATCACAAGTTCAAAGCCAGCCTCTGCAACTTAACAAGGCTCTAAGAAACTCAGTGAATGAGACCCTGTCTCTAAAAAAGATACAAATAAGGGCTGGAGATGTCGTCCAAGGTTAAGTGCCTCTAAGTTCAATCACTGGTACCAAAAAAGAAAGAAAGAAAAGAAATTAAACTTTTAAATTATTCAAGTAAAATTTGCTACAAGTGTAATCACAGATGGTTCCCATGACTGAAGACTAAATGTTGACTAGTGTCCAGTCAGAAAAATGCACTTAGGAAATATGTACTAAGAGAACCTGCTTAAAATATGTCAGTGTTTGTTTCTGCTTTTTTAAATCTTACCTTTTAATAATTCCATATGTCTGAATCTGGCTTCTTACACTCACATATGGAGGACTCGGCCTCAGTCAGCTGCTCCACAGGTGGGCACTCGTAGCCAAGGGAAGTGCTTGAATGGAGCTATCACTGTCCTTTACAGTGATAGAACTCGAGTCCACACACCTGCTCTTGGTGGGCTTCTGTGGGTCTACAGCTGGAGTTCTGCTCAGCACACGTATTTTCTCTTGGGCATATTCTTATTGCTAAATGTCCCAGCAGCCACCAGGAAGATAAGTGCCGGGGTCCAGATTCTGTCTGGTATGTGCATCCTTGCTGTGTCCTCTGGTATCCCCAGGGCCCCCATGCCTGTCATCTGGCTCTCCATTCGTCATAAGAAACCGTCCCCTCAGTAGGGAAGCCCCAAACCAAATACACAACTTTGGACTCTGATAAGTCATCACTGAGCACCAGTAACATACAGTGGGAGCTTGAGGAAGCCAGCAGGCTTCTGGGGTTTCTTCACCTGTGGAAGGTTCTTCCTGTCTTAAGTGAGATGCCACACTGCTGAGAACAGAAGCCTCAGCGCCAGGTGATCTCTTCTGGGCCTGTCCCAACTCTCTGTAGTGCTGCAGGGCCTCCTGTGTCAAATCTCTATCACCAAAAGCCAGGGCTCTGGGTCCTTGGCTGGCTTTCCTCCTCAGATTGGAGAATCTCAAGGAGAGGGTGAAGTAGAACAACCAGGCCAGGCCCTGGTTTGTGATGCACCCCCAGTAACCTGCATGCAGTTCAGAGTGTGGAGCCAGCAGGAAGCCATTCTGTTTGTCAGCAGAGGCCTGACTTACCGCCAGCTCTTCCATTTAAGGCCCAATCAACTTTTACTTGAGTTGCCGTGGACTCTTCTAATTGAGGAGATCTTATATCTTGTACATTTTTTGTCTGAAGACACTAGAAAGTAAATACAAGAATATTTATTCCCAAGAAACAAAGAAGTAAAGGGAAGTTATTTTTATTACAAATATAATTTTGACCCCTAGTTCATTTAAAAGTTTGTCTACCGAGGGCTCTTTCTGGCTCACTAGGACCCAGGGACGCAGGGCTGTGGCCAGGAATCATGCAACCCTGGGGACAGTGTGCACAGTGGGGCTGGGGGCCTGAGCCTTTGAGAAACCCCAGCCCTGATTCCTTGGGGACAGAAGAGTAAAGCATGCCGTTCTCTGTTGATAAATCTGCCCCCTGTTTTCCCTAGGGGAGATCCTTGTCCTTCAAGACCTTCCTCATCTGGGTTCTGATCAGCATTTACCAAGGTAAGACAGGCCCTGGTTTCACTGGACCAAAGATTTCTGTTGGTCTTCTCTTAGCAGTATTGTTTTCACCTGCAAGTTAAATCCCAACAGCTTAAGATTTCATCAGCAGTTAAATATTGCCTTCCGTTTATCTTGTAAATTGATAACTCCAGACATGTGGATCGGTATTTTTTAAATGATGCATGTCAGTTAAAAACTGACCTTTTTTTAAAATATGTATATTAGTTGTAGATGGACAGAATGTCTTTATTTTATTTGTTTATTTATATGTGGTGCTGAGGATTGAACCCAGTGCCTCATGCATGCTAAGTGAGCATTCTACCACTGAGCTCCAACACCAGCCCCAAAAAACTGACATACTTTTAATCAAATGTTAATCCAGAGAAATTTAACAAGCACTCCTCCCATTATCCCTGCACAATGGCTTTCTTTGATATGTGATGATGACAAGGGCTCAGGAAAGTTGGCTTACACAGCCACATGCCTTAGCCGCTCTGTGGGTGCTCCAGGAAAGTGAGGGTGCTGCAAGTGTGGTTATCCCCCGGCACATAGATCACATGCGGCCTTCGGTGGAGGCGTCCTTCCTGCAGGTGTTGAGATGTCTGTGAGCCTCTGCCTGGCCCTGAGCTGGCTGATGCCACAGTCCAGAGTATGACCAGGCTGTCCATCTGTGTGGGGTGTGTGGGCAGCGTGCTCCCCAGCTGACCTGTGTGCTGTTTTCTAGGAGGTATTCTCATGTTCGGGGCCCTGGTGCTCTTCGAGGCTGAGTTTGTGCATGTGGTGGCCATCTCCTTCACAGCACTGGTCTTGACTGAGCTGCTCATGGTGGCTCTGACCATCAGGACATGGCACTGGCTGATGGTTGTGGCCGAGTTCCTCAGTCTGGGCTGCTATGTGGCCTCCCTCGCCTTTCTAAATGAATATTTTGGTAAGTTTTTGAACATTCTGTCATTGTTACCTCTCAGAACATGGCCTTAAATTGTAGATCACAATAAAACCCATATTAGACAATTTCACAACACAAAATTTATTTTTCTGCAAAGAAAAAATTTCTTGCATTCACCTGTAAAGTTAAGATTTCCATCATCTTGGCTTTAAAAGATGTTGAAGCATCCTCCTTGGCCACTTTATCACACCAGCTCATTTGTCCTCCCCAGAATCTAGGCCTCTTCCAGCTGGAGATTGTGAATGATGGAGACTATGTCAACGGTCAAACACTGGGTTACCCACCTCCAGATTGGTCAGTGGCTGGGAAGACCAAGCATGCTTCCCTCTTAAGGTGTTTAAAATCAGGGCAGAGAGCAAAGAATCATTTAGCATCAGGTCTGACTCGTTTCCCAGAGCCTGTCAAGGCCCTGTCTCCTGGGGCAAAGACAGGGGGTAAGACAGTAGCCACTGCCTCCACACTGTACATGAGAGCATGACACCATGACTGCCTGCAGGTGGCAAGTTGACACTCTTCCTGGTCTGGGCAGAAAGTTCCAGGTCTGCACCCTAGGGAATGTCCCAGGCAGGTCAGCAGTCTATTTAATGTCCCCTGCACTGCAGGTGAGGATGTGAGCCCTCTGCTGCTGGCGTGCTGATGTTTGCACCTTGACATAAAGTGTGGGGCCCTCAAAGCACCCAGAATTAAACCTGCAGTGAGTGAGTGCAGAAGCATGGTGTAGACTGCCACTCTGCTGCTCTGCTTTATGCAGTGGTGAGCATATAGGCAGGAAAAATATTAAAAGTTCATGCTTATAATTTTTAGAAGTTACACAAAAAGCCTGCCTATGGCACATAAGAAAGGGCTTCTTTCTAGTTAAGAGTAGCTTAGCTGTTTGTCTTTGGAGAATAAATGTTTGCTGTATTTTTCTGTATGATCATCAACACACATAAATGGGAGCTATAGAGCCCCAACTACATGCTTGGGCAGGACCTGTCCCCTCTGAACCTGCTTCTCTGAGCCAGGCCTGGAGAGTAGCAGCATGTCTAAGTGATATGCACAGGTGCACGGAGCCCCATCGTGCCCCAGGATGGCAAGCATTCAGGGGAGCTGCGTTCTGAGGTGCAGCCCACTTGGAGGTTTAGCTGCAGACCCAGTGGGGCATATCTGGGTGCTTGCTGTTAAGTTATAGGAAGTTAATCACACATCTCAGCTATATTTTCAAGTTGCATGGCAGTAGGTGATAAAATAACAGGGTTAAAGCCAGTCACAAATGCATTTCATACTGACATTTTTGTTGCTTTTTAATGTGTTTCTGTAGTCAGTAGCTAACCACCTGAAACTGTCCTGCCGTCTGCTTTAATCGGTCCTTCATGATCTTTACTCCTGTTTTCTCTCGGAACAGGTATAGGCAGAGTATCTTTTGGAGCTTTCTTAGGTAGGTGAAGTTATGATTTCTTTCAAGAGTATAGAAATTTAGAAAAAAAAAAATGTTGATGGAGATACTTATCTGATAACAGAAGTCTTCCCCTGACTTAGTCTTCCCACCGACTCAGACATCACGTGAGCCTGGGGGGTTGGGATTGCCTCTGGGCACTTGGTGTCTGAGTGGAAGGCGGAGGCAAGGGGAGCCACTATGTGTCCCGCCCTAGAACTTCGGCCTTTCACGTTTTTAGTAGCAAAGCTCCTGAAAAGCACTCCCAGGTGTCTCAAAATGTGGGTCAGGTTGCCTGTGGCCTTCTCTTTTTGGCTTCAGCCCATTGTGTGGACAGCAGCTGTTTTCCCTACATTCTGTATTTTTATAAAAGCCCAACTCCTAGTAAGTAGATCTTTCTATCCTTTCTTTTTTCTTTTTTCCTGCAATCTAAAAGGCTTCTGCTGTGTGTAGAATGCAACTACAGATGTCAGGTTTTTCCACAAGTCTCTTCTCCTGCGGACTTAAAGCAGCCATCTTTACCCATGCAGTCTCGTTGGGGTGGTGAATAGGCTTGTTCGAGGTGACTGTGAGAGTGAGGATGCCTGGGACTGGGGGGCTGAGAAGCACTTGAGACTGGCGCATCTGAGCGTTCGTGTCGCAGGGACCTGCCAGCTGCCCCAGACCCCGTGTAGCTGGCTCTGCCTCAAGAAGAAGACTGGCCAGGGTAGCCAGACAGAGCAGAGGCCAGTTAACTGGCATCTTCCCCAGAGCCACGTGGCAGTGTGCAAATCCTGCCATAGGCTGCCTGAACCACTAGCCATATATGGTGGCCATGTGCAGCCCCTTCCTAGTGCTCGGCCCCCTGTTCCTTCTGTTGAGAGAAGAACTGTGTGTGCCAGACACAGGTAAATAGCATGCACGAAGACCCTTCAAGGCTGAGTTAGGCCTGCTGGGCGAGGGTGTAGTGCTGGAGTGGAGGCCTGGGGGGGTGGTGGGGCAGGTCTGCAGCTGTGGCCTGGGCTGGGAGTCCTGGCAGCTTTCACACTCTGCCTCCTCCCCACAGATGTTGCCTTCATCACGACCGTGCCCTTCCTGTGGAAAGTGTCGGCCATCACTGTGGTCAGCTGCCTTCCACTCTACGTCCTCAAGTACTTGAAGCGCAAGCTCTCTCCTCCCAGCTACTCCAAGCTGAGCTCCTGAGCGGTCGGCAGCTGCCAGAGGCCTCCAGGCACCGTAGACCTCTCAGCTGGCTCCTGTGGGAGGTGGGAGGTAGGGGGCTGGGGCCTGCCCTTTCCTCTTTGATGTCCACTGAGGCAGCACGGGGCTCCCACTGGAAAGGAGTCTTGTTCCTTCCCTGCTACTGTAAAGGGTCTGCCCTTCTGAGAGCTGGCAGTGGTTTCTGCAGCTCGCCAGCACTCGGGTTCTCCTTTGATGTGGAATGTGAAAGCCACTCCCCTGCACAATAAAGTCTGCACACTGGGGAAGCTTGTCTGCCCTGCAGCCACCCTTGCCGCCGCCCACGGCCATGATGAGCCTCCAGACTCCTGCGGGGCTCTCTGCTGGGCACTCACGTGGTTGTATGTTCTTGCATAGAGTGTGCTCCTCCCAGAAAAACCCAGGTGACAGATGGTGTGACATCTCTGATTGCAGTTACATTGCCGCTGGGAATGGAGCCATTTGTCAAAGGCATTGCTGCTCCATAGTGTGTCCATACTCCATGTCCTCTCATGTCTGCAAAAATCACACTCAGAAAGGTTTTGCTGTGTAGCAGGTGTCCCTGGGGGACTTGTGATACACACACATGTGCTGGCGCTAGGGTGGAAGAGCCCCCCAGCCCAGGCTTCAGGAGGTGTCCAGGTGTCCACCAGCAGCTCCCTGGAGTGCCATGGCCCTGCTGCTGTGTTCGGGTAGAAGAGCCTGTGGGCCAGGGCTTGGTCCTCGCAACTGCCCCAGCTCTGTGCCCTTCTCAGGGTGTTTCAGGAGCCCTCCAGGGAGCTTGCTGGCGAGCACCTGGCCTCTTACAGGAAGGAGTCGATGGTTTTCTAGAACAGTCTGCAGTCCTCTGCACCAGGTGTCTTATGCACCACACTGTTCTTCACCTTGAGCACCCACTGAATGTAACCCCACCATCCTTGTGTAATGCCCACCCATTGAGGGCAGCACCGTGGGGGTGGCCCCCAACAAGCCCTGTGTCTGTGGTGCCACCTCCTCCTAGGCTTATGTCAGTGCTGCTTTTCAAAGGAGAGGCTCAGTGCCAGAATAAAGTGTACTCCTTCCCATATATCGTCACATGTGCCTTTTGGATCACATGCCTGTGGCAGGTTATCTTTGGATGCCTGAGCATTCAGAATTCCCAGGTGGACCTGGGACCAGAGAATGCTGTTTCTCAAATCCCCCACAAGGTGTCACTGTTTTGCCAGTTTCCCCAGCAGCGTCCGGTCTGGGGCTGCCAGGCTGGAGGAGTGTGCTGAGCTGCAGGAGCCTGCAGACACCCACCGTCTTGGTGGATTGGGAGTTCATGCCCCTGCCCTTTCTTTCACACAATTTGAGTTAAGGGCATTGGGTTCACAGGAATGCCGCGGCCTGTGTGCTGACGTGGCATCACTCATGGATCTGGGTACAGAATACCAAGTTCAGATTAGACATTTCTTGCCTCTGCTGTTTTTAAAATAAAACAAACACCCACGTGGGAGGTTGACTAACAGTTGTAACAGTTGACTAACACTTGTAACAGAAAATCTAAATACTGTGAGCCTTTGGAATAGCATTTTTGCACATCTTTAAATAAAACATGAGGCTTTTGTGAGCCTTAGATACAGAGAGTAAGGAGAAATGGCCAAATATGAGTTTCTAGAAATCAGAATGTGTGAAGTCAAAGCCCTCTGTGAAGCGAGGAGAATCACTGCAAAATGCGGCTTCTGGGGCTAAATGAGGCCATTCACAGGAAGGAAGCAGCCGGCAGACACCTGGCACATGGTAAGCTGCTCAGAGGGAGTTTGTGATATTGGTTCTGATAGATGGGACAAAATAATTGCCTAATAAAGGGTCTCTGGATCTCGTTCAGCTCAGGTTTAGGAACCAGCTCAAGAGGGCAATGGTGCCCTCGGGCGGGTGAGGACTAGTTTGTGGAACAACCTCATTGTGTCCTGAGTTCTTCAGCTGCATCTGTCAGAGGTTTTCTAGCCGAGCCTCCTGCTTGTAAGATGCTGCCCAGCCCCCTCAAGGCCTCTGGAGGACCCCACTCTTGTCTTGGAGCACAGGAAGGCCATCTAGATGGTTCAGGGTTGACCTCAACCCTCCTCCATCAGAAGCTTCATAGGAGAGGAGATTGCTCTCAGCACAGGAGTCTCAAGTGCCCACTGTGTGTCAGGTGCATTTAGGGACATGGCAAATGTGGCCCTGCAGGGGAAAGCTGACATGGAGATGAGAGTTAAGGGACTGCCAGGACAGTCTAGAGGAGACTCCTCAGAGAGGTAGGGTTGATGCTGAGACCAGAGAAGAAAGTAGCCACTTGTGCAGAGACAGGGAAGAGACCTGTGTTCAATGCAGGTGGGGCAGGGCAGGTGGGGCAGAGTGCAGACAGGAGGGCCAAGTGGGCAAGTAGGTGACAGGAGAGGGGCCAGGGTGGAGTGGGCAGGCTGGTGGGTGGACTCTGCTGCTGCTCTCCACACCTCATCCTCCTTTAGGCTTGCGACCATCTTGCATTTTTATCCAGTGTTTCTAAATCAGAGGGCAACACCACGTTCCTAAAGCCTGTACCACCCCCCATGGAGCCAAAACAGGTCGAGTAAGGGGTCACATGCACCCTTCCTGTACCGGTAAGGGCCCTACGAAGAGCCTACAGTGGAAAGACACACTCACTGCTCCACCTCTAAGGCCTAGGGCACTTCATGTCTTCATGGAGCAGATTCGCATCTGTGGGAAGATGGGGACAGTGTCGTGGGTGAAAAATCACTTTCCTAAATGCAGTGGATGCTTAGCCAAAGGCAGATTATCAGGCTGCATAAAAAGCAAAACTAACCACGTGCTGCGTACAGAGAGAAATGCCATAAATACGGAGGGAGACACAGTGTAAGAGCAGCAGGCTGGGGCAGGTGGAGCGCTCAGAGCCAGTGCCCCGCAACACCATTTCTGAGGACCCTCAAGCTGAAGGCGTCCCTGCAGGCAGCACCCACTGGACAGGGTCTGCAGGGGAGTGGAGTGAGGAAAGCTGCGGCTGCAGAGTCAGTCTGCTGTGGGACACCGGTTGCTGTCCTGTGTGGCTGCATCCTCCATGCCCTGTGTCAGAAACAGCTGCACAGAAACCCCAGACCTTGCTGACTGAGGGACCCTGCGCCCAGCTACTGCAGTGCGCCCACCAAGGCAGCCAGGTACCGGGTCGACAGGCACCAGAGAACCGGGAATCACATGGCTCACTTACGGAGGGCTCGGGGGTCGAGGAAAACATGATGGGAGAAATTCTAACCAATTCCGACTTAATGAAAATGTCAAGATTTGAGACTTTCTTAAAGGAAACTTACAGATCTAAATGCTTATGTCAAAAAATAGAAAGGTCCTAAGATCAACGTGTAGACTTCTACTCTGGGAAGCTAGAAAAAGGGTAACAGTGAGCCCAAAGCAAGTAGGAGGCAAGAAGCAAAAATAAATAAACAAAAGCGAGTATCAACAAAATGGAGCACAGATGAACAGCAGGAGTCGAGGAATCCAAGGCTAGCTTGGTGAAAACCCAACCTCTGCCAGATGGACGAAGACAAAGGTACTGATGTTCAAAGGTTTCCATCACAGAAAGTCGCCCTGGAGGAGGAAAGGTCAGGTTTGCTCCAGGTTTCACAGTTGGCTCTTGCCTTTGGGCCTGTGGGGAGGCAGAACATCACGGCAGTCAGCCCGAGGGGGAGCAAAGTTCTTCTCTTTGTGGCAGCTGTGAAGCCGAGGAGGGAGGAGTGGTCGGGGTCCCTGTGTCCTTCCTGTCCTGCCCCCAGTGACCTCCCTCACTGCCTTCCACTAGACCCCCTTCGGCAGCTTCCACCTCTCCCCGTAATGCCACCTCCTGGAGACCCAGCCTTGGACACCTGCGCCTTTGGGGGACATTTAAGGTTCACCCAGAACGGTCAGTGTCTTGGGGGCCTTTGGGGTGGTGTGACTACAAGGGACAGCAGGAGGGGCTGTGTCTGGGTGCTGCAAGGGCAACAGCTCCTGCACCTGCAGGCTCCCACTCGCGACTTCACACGTGGGCCAGAGTAGGGACCCTCCCCGCAGCTCACATGTGTTTTGAAACTTGCTGTGAACCTGTATTCACAGAAGTTTTCAGAGTGCCGTGACTTTCTGTGGGTTGAGGACCAGATGGGGAAAGGCCTGGCACCGTGAGCAGGCTAGGCCAGGGGCTGCGACTGCTCAGATCAAGGCCTCAGCTTCTTCTGGGAGGAGACCAGCTGACAGCAGTCTCTTTACCTTGAGGGTGGGTCTGTCCTGGGGCAAGCTGCCTGGAGTTGTGGCCTGTCCTCTGAACCCAGCGTGGTATTACAGTGAGTTTTGGTGGTACCATGCAGTCTGCACATGGCCCTCATTGTGGGCTGGGCTTGTGGCCAAGCCATCCCCCAGGCAGAAAGGCCCTGCCTTCTCCAGGGGTCAGGAGGCCACAGGCCCTGCACCTAGCCTCCATATGGTTAAGGACAAAGGGTCTCTCCAGGGTCCCCAAGGGTAAAGGAGGTACCACTGGGATAGCTTGGGTGTTGGGGTACCCACGAGGCCTGCAACCCAGGGGACAGCAGCACAGAAACTGGACCTGGCTCTCTTGTTTCCACAGCTCCTGGGTCTTAGTGACAGTTGAGGCACAGGGATGACAGAGACCTGAGGATAGGGACCGAGAGTACAGCTTATGGAGGACAAGAAGTCTGTACTGTGCTGTGCTGCCTCTAGGGCTCAGCTGGGAGTCAGCTTTTGGTAGCCTGCGCATACACTGAGAGACCACTCCTAGTGCCCTGGCAAGGCAGGACCTGCTCTCCCTGTCTCCTGTCAGGTCTTGTGCCCGACTGGCCCAGCTGCCACCACTGGCTAAGATCTGCTGCCCCTCACTCACCTGGAAAATCACTTCTCACTATCCAAGCTTCCTGAGGTTTTAGGCACGTTGGCCACCAGGGACCATGCAAGCCACATTGTAAGGTGGCATGCCAGAAAAGTCACCTTGTGTTCCTGGGGCCACCCTGAGAAAGAAGAAGGGTATCCCTACCATCCCTGCAGCCCTGCCCTGAATTTAGAGTCTGCTGGAGCCTGCCTCTCCTCAGAGCACCCTTGGACATCCTTAAGGGTGGGACTGGCCTTTTCAACCTTCCTGCCTCTTCTAGAGGACAGTGTGGTGCCCTGGATATGCTCAGAGGCACTGGATCAGTGGCAGTGGGGAAACTGAGGCATGGAGAAGATTCCCCAGAGCAAGGAAACAGCCAACCTGGATTCCAGGACCCTCTGTGTTTGGCTGTGTGGACCTGGC